GGACGCGCCTGAACATATCCTGTATTGATGTCGAATTCCCAATGAACGTCAACGCCATTTTGAGACCGGTTGGTGGAATGTCACATACTGTTGATTTCACATTGTTGGGAATCCATTCAACAAAGTAGGATAAGTTATTGTTTTGAACGTTCAACATCTGCTCGTCCACTTCCTTGGTGCTCATCTTACCACGGGAACATGGCCGATGCAGTCAAGTACCGGCCATGTCGCGGATCGGCCGCACACATCATGTTCTTTGCGTCACACATTTGTTGAGTGAGGTCAGGAACAGTTAGGGCTTGGTATTGTTGGGATCCTCTTGAAGTGATAGGCACAAAACCGACCATAAAAAAGTGAAGCCGAGGAAATGGGATGAGATTGACGGCAAGTTTTCGAAGGTCAGAGTTGAGCTGACCTGGGAACCGTAAGCAGCATGTGACTCCAGACATTGCTGTCGATATTAGATGATTAAGATCACCAGCTGAAAGTGGATCAAAAACAATATTACAAAGATGCAAGCCAAAAAAAATAGCAAATCAAAGCCTAATCAGCAATCCAATGCTAAATCAATGATTCCATTGATAGCAAAAATCAAAGCCTAATCAGCAATCCAATGGAAAACCAATGATTCCATTGATAGCTAAAATCAAAGCCTAATCAGCAATCCAATGCAAAACCATTCATTCTATCGATAGCAAAAAATAAAGTTTAACTCGATGGGAATACTTACAGCTGGGATTGGAGAGCTTAAGTGTCCGGAAACAGATATCATACAAGGCTTCATTGTCAAGAACCATACACTAATCAGCGTTTTCAACCAGCTGATGAACAGATAAAGTAGCATTGTAAGGCTCCACCACTGTATCAGAGACTTTAGGCAATGGGAAAATCGAGAAAGTTAACACCATTTATTTGGGTATTATTCCCTTATCTTCGAAATCAAAAGTGTTCCCATTCCAGATCCGTTCCACCTCAGAATGAATGACAAACCTAAAACCCTAATTAAAAGAGAACAAAGGACAATCCAGCAGAGGTTAATCAAGTTTCTTTAGATCAAAATATACATTTCTTCGTTACCTTGAAGACAATCGCAGTTTTCAGCGTCTTTTCGAACAACGTCAAGGACCCTCCCTTCTGCCCACTCCTCGTTAATGTTTTCAGACCCGACAACTTCGTTTTATGTCAATCCGGTGCCGGTAACAACTGGGCTAAAGGCCATTACACTGAGGCGTTCATAGTAAAATAATTGAAAATAGTTAAAACAAATACTATATTTTAATCGCGCTTAATAAAAAATAATAATTTCAAAAAAATCCTATTTAAAAGCAAAAACGTGTTTGTGTGGGGGCAACGGTGATGACCCACACATGAGCATGATTCGAACGAGTCGATCGCGAGTTAGATAATAAGCATGATTCGAACGAGTCGATCGCGAGTTAGATAATATTCGATTCGTGCTCGTTAAAAAATTATATTGTTCGCTTGTTAAGTTCGTTAAATTTATACTCAACTCGTGCTCGTCAAAAAAATTTGCTGCTCAACTCGACTCGTTGCTCGTTAAGCTCGACTCGTTGCTCGTTAAGTTCACTAAAAAATTTACCTTATTTTTTTACCTAAAAATAAAATTTACTAATACTATATGAGGATATTAGGGTTGGGTTTTTTGTATTAAAATAATAATATTAATTAATAATAATTTATTATTTATTAAAAAATAATAATAATTATTTAGATTTATTTTTTGAATGAAATAATTTTGAAGTAATTACTAAATATATATTTTTAAAAATTAACGAGCTGCTCGCCAGTCGAACGTTTATCGAATTTTAACCGAGTCATCGAGTTGCTAACGAGTTAAAGCACCCATAAGCATGCCAATCTTTTGCCCAACAATGCGCATGGAAAATGGCAAAGCAGAATGATTTTTTTTAGGGCCAAAATACTTGTGATTTTTTTTAAAAAAAATGAAAATATTTATGTTGAATACACTATTTCACGTGCTTCAATAATTTTCCTTTACTTGTAGAATTATAAAATTTAAAGTTTCATGATTCACCTCTTAAAAATCGGGGCTTAAATACCAAAAAATGCAACCCATATCAGACCAAGCTGTAAATCATCTGATTAAGGTTTTGGGGCCCAATCCAAATATAACAACCTTCTCCAACAAACCAAATGGGTTGGTCAAATTGAAGGTTCATAATATCAATTGTCCATGGCTTAGTGCTTACTTCAACCCACTCATATAATTTAGTGTTTTATCCAATTATGATATATACAATATATGATAAATTATAATTTAACAGTGTAATTATAAATGAATTACTTTATTAATCATAAAATTCGAATCACCTAATCTGATTAAATTATAAATTTATGACTTCATGAAAAGTAAAATTAAATTTAATAATTCAGAATATAAATAATTGGGTTATTATGGTTGACGTCTTTCTACAAATATAAAATGTTTTCGGTTCAGCTAAGTAGTTGCGTCAATCATTTCAATCATTTTTCCATAAAACAATTCAGCAAGCACACGTCACTAAAATCCCAATGCTGCACATATTGTCACTTGTCAAACCTTAGACAGTCAGCCTAAATGTCCCGTATTTGATATCTCCTTTTGTCAAAACACCTAACCTGTCACATTCCTGTCTTGGATTCACTATTCTCCTTTTAAGATATTGTTAATTGACGTTTTAAAAATATTAATATAATATTTGTTATAATAGTAATATTATTGAAGGCGATAATGAATTAGTTCATTTTAATTGAAAAATTATTTTATTTATTATCAATAGAATTGAAAAGTTTTACGAGTAGAGTTAAATGTATGAATTGTGATAATATGTCATAATATTTAAATATTGTTAGCAAAATTAAAATATTTCATAAAAAATTATCTAATATTAACTTTTTAGATAAAGTATACAAATGGTCATCCGATTATATAGTATTGTTTTATTGAGTCTTTTGATTATTAAAAATTACAAAATGGGCACACTATTTATTGTATTCTAAACTCGTCCTTTTTTGTTAAAAAAATGATAGTGGGTTGAGTTTGACGCTAACTTGTTAAATATAATATAATAGTCGATTGAGATTCTGAGATCAAATTATATCATATATCAGTAAGTGATTAACGTTTAACTCAAATTGTTATAGTTTTTAAAAGAAAAATGACAAGTTTAAAACACAATGAATAGTCAGGTGATCATTTTATAACTTTTAATAGTCAGAGTCCTCAATAAAACAACTCCCTATAGTCGGAGGGCTATTTATGTACTTTACCCTAACTTTTTATACTTGTAATATTTTAGATTAAAACATTATCTCATATAAGATTATCTTTTAATAAAATCTTATTTTTTTAATATTAACTAATAATGCTAATCATATGACAATATCCATGCTTAAGTGGGGGTGCCCCATTCGTATTTGGATGCCAGGGGGCCTATCTTTCATTGGTAGTTAAGTAACTACCTTTTCCCTTTCGTATTCTGGGGTATCCAGTCATTTTTTTATTTAATAGATTAGTATTGGGTCAATTATCAATATATTGTATCCTAAGACTGCACGTATAACACATGGAGAAAAAAATAGATCGAATTTTATTTCATTTTTTAGAAAATTATAAATTTAAATATATTTAAAGTGTAATTAAAGATAATTTTATATAATATTATAATTCAAGAGCTTGAGTTTAACAATATTTTCAGACTTGTAATATATGCAAGTTTTCAAATCGAATGATGATTTAAAAAAAAACAAGTGGAATGATCCTCCAAATTATTTTAGATTCGTGTATCCATCATGTGGATACAAATATAAGCGAAAAGCAGCAGTGAGAATTGTGAGATGGACCACACCATTTTAGGAATGTGCATTTAACTTTTGCCAATGCCATGTTCTCCCTTTTATTTATTTTTCCCTTCACTAAAACCTTAACATTTTTTTATTTTGTAAAGATTTTCTGATGAATTCAAATATAACCCTAGTGTTGTTAGATCAATTCCAAGAGCAAGAGACGTCAGATCAGAATCGCTCATCCTTAGCACACTTTGCAAACCAAGTAATCCAAATGGATCAGGATTACACTGTGCAGACTGCAGCCTGCATCGATTTCATCCCAGGTTCTCTAAATGACTGACTGACAACTGACATCTGTTACAGACGAAAGTGGGATTGGTTTTGCTGTTGCAGGTATTGCTGGATAAGCTGGTCATAACCCATACTAGAAACCGAATTTGAGGAATTTAGAGGTCTTAGACCAATCACAGGTGGTTCACTGGTCTGAAATAAAAATTAAAGAGTGTTATGAATAATTCTATGTAACATCCACCAAAAAAGAGAAAACATTGATGGAGAGATAAATGCATCTGAGTGTCCAACATAGGAATTCAAACCAATTTCTTCAACTTTCAAAGGATCCTTCATTTTGCATGTTATTACAAGAAATAAGGGATTCTTTGGGTTTGACCAACAATGAGTCTCAATTCAATCATGCTACCGAAACACTTTATGAATTTGATTATGAATCTGTATCCCATATACCAATAGAGAAAGATAAAATATATTTTTCAACTCTTTATTAAACGATAAATCTCACACTTTTGTATTTTGTTCTGTACATAAACTTTCAAATGTGCTAAATAGTCATATTTCAGGTTTAGGGTAATTGAGAGTTCTAGATTAGGTGCATTACTGGATAAAATTAAACTAAAAGCTAATGTCAACATGCAAGAGCGAAAAAAAGAAGATGAAGAAAGAAAGAATATGCACAGACTAGTTTATCAAATATTGATATGAAAATAACCTTATCAACTAGTAGCTTTAACAAGAGTAAGAGTACTTTCGGAGATATGTACTGAAAGATTATAACACTGAAGAGTCAAACAAGGATTAAATCTTCAGTAATTGCTTTAACCAGGTTCGATAAAACCAATCGTAATAGAAAGATGAATGATGCTACGAATGCAGTATAACACTTACCTTCATCATTTTCCCAAAATCGGAGCAGTCCATTGAAAGTATTACTGATATATTCTATTCTATTCTATTCATTCTCCAGCGCCAGGCATAAAATTGTTGCTAAATTTCATTAACATTTACAAAAATAAATAGATTCAGGGCCAACCAATTATTATTCCTCTATCTGATGCTAAATACTCAACACAGAGTAGTGGGCCGGCATGACAGGCAAGAACAACGTTACATGTTCCCCGGGAAACCGTCCAAACTCTAGCAGTCCAATCATCGCTTCCCGTAATCAGAGTGTCTCCAGCCATTCTCATAGACATGCATAACTGACTCGTGAACTCACTGTTCCTTCCAAGGTCTACACACACAAAAATGAACCAAGAAATTGACCAAAATTCAATATTTCTTTGCTAATTGTATCCATTTTGTATGCCGTAGAAGTTTGTGCATCTGCCTACCGGCACGGATGTCCCAATATTTGCTACCCTGACAATGCAAAGGATCCATCAGTCTTCAAGGAGACAAACCATATCGAACAGGCAAATTGCAAGTGACTTAGAAATACGCGTCTCTGCCAACAGCAGCCAAGATCCCACTGGAGTCATCATACTCCAAGCATAGAGCTGCACTAGAACAGCGACCGACTGTCTCCACACAAGTGTCAGTCCAAACATCCCACATCTTAACAGTTCCATCATAGGCAGATGTTAGGACCCATTCACCAGACGGCATACGCACACAGATGACCTGCAGTAACATAAAGAGAGGGATGCCATATTTCAATTGTCCAATTCATGCACATTTAAGAAAAGGAAAAAATAGCTAAAATTCTTTGCAGAACACCATTAAAGAAAACAAATTTAGAATTAGGAATCTCAATAAGTAATTCATAAAAACAAGAAAACAATCAACATTCAAAGAAGTTGATTTATGGAGATAAACACAATGTTTACACTTGCAGAGAACTTTTGTGGAGGTTGCTTTAGGACAAGTGAAACATTTAAATTTCACAATTTCAGAAGTCAGTCCAATATAATTTTCATTTTACACAGTCAACGAATGGAAAAATGAAAATCATGAATGAAGGCACCTTGCAGAAATTAGATTTTATGGACTGCATTATATTGAAGCCTGAAGTTCTTCGATGTTTAAAAATAAGAAAAATAAGTTATACCTTGGCAGGATTGGCAACGAAGATATGGGAAAGAAGATGTCGGCAATCCACAAACACCCGTACATAGTCGGGTATATTGTATTGAACACTCATTATTCTCTGTTACAACAAAATCAATTCAGCTTCACATCAAGAAGGAAAATGGAAATCATAGCTCATGTAAGAGCCAGAATTGAGAACTAATAAGGAAGAGATTATCTATGCATCAAGCACAAATTTATATCCGAGGTTGAATGTCTGTGTTACATTTGATTAGAAAACAGAAATTTTTTTACCTTCCCGTCGTATTCCTTTCGTGATAGGACTTCGGGGGCAATATACGCTGGTGTTCCATGAGTTGATTTTGGTTGTGAATGCAGCACTGCGGACTGTTCAGTAAAGAAATTAGAGAACTGAACATTGAAAAATAGAGTAAGAATAGCAGATTCCATGAAAGACAGTGTTTATTTCGAATTTGGAAATGAACCTTGGAGTATCCGAAGTCACATATTTTAAGTCGTGGTGTCAGACTTCCATCCAGGAGTGTGTTTTCTAGTTTCAGATCCCTGTGAAAAATTTGCTGAAGCAGAACTATAGAATGAGGCATGAAAGTCGCCATCAAACAGAATCTCAAAAGGTTACTTATATTTTTATATATTTCCATTGAATGACAGTAGCTGATTCCAGATATTAACTACTGGAAGAAAACCTTGCCTTTCGACAAACAAATATCGTAAGTAAACATGAATTCAAAATAATTTCGAGACAAGAGAGAAAGAAATATTAGCTCATTCAATTGAATGTGGATAGAAACTCACATCGTCTTCGCTAAATCGACCAGCGCTGCATATTCTCTCAAAGAGTTCACCTTCGGAAGCATACTCCATAACAATAGCTAAATGTGTTGGAGTCACCAAAACCTGCAGAGAGATGTGAAGTTTAGTATAAAGCCAAGCATGTAATGTCCGAACCCAGAATTCCACGAGTATAGCTACTAACATTTAATAAAACAAATGTCTCACCTCTTTAAACCTGATTATGTTTGGATGTCTTAAAGATCGGTGGTTAATGATTTCCCTTTGAACATTTTCATCAATCTGAAATCGAAAAACAGAAACGGTACATTAATATGTTGAGTGAGAATGATATTCAAATCCATTCAAAACGCAACACTGTTTCAGACATAGAAAACCGAAAAGACAAGCACCGCGACCGTTGAGGAAAACTGGGAAAGAGAGACAGCCACTTTTGTAATGGCAGCAGCAGATAAGAAGAGAAAAACATCATAAATCGAGTCAAGAAGAATATGAAATATCATGAACTTGGACCCAAGGACATTCACCATATATTACTCTCATTTTGCTTGAAGTACTGATTCCTGGAGCATACTGGACATGAGTGTGATGATATGACCCTCTAAGTAAATGGGAAGCCTTGAAAAAAAAAACGTAACATACCTTTGTCGCAGCTAAGCTCAAGTAACATAGTTCACCATATGAAGTTGAGTAACTTGAAATTCCTTTCAACGATATTCATCTCAGTTATTTTCATCCATAATTCAATGTAGAGATTCTAAAACAAAAACCATATTACTTATTTACTCCCCTTCGAGTTTAAATGATCCCCATTGGGAAAACTGTTCCCACCGGAATGACATTGACAAATGCAAAACTGAAACTAAAGCTTGTTAAAAGTAGCAAGCAGCCAATCACCTTTAGACAAGCAAAAGTAGATTTATAAGCAGCAAAGGTAAACTGAGGTAGCTAGGCAATTTTCAACAACCCTCCTTTCTTCACAAGAAAAACTTCAGTTTGACGATGTAATTATGGTCCATTGAAAAGCATGACACAAGCATGATTTAACCAATCTCCAGACATTGAGAAATCAAAACAACTTTCTCTGAAAGACCAGAAGTTAATCAACTTTCAAACCACATCTATAAACTGTAAATCTCTCATTGTAATATATGCAAGAAAGTGGTCAGCCATATTCAACATCAAACATAAACAATTTTCCATGTTCAGAAACCAATCACCAGACATAAAATTTGCCCAGATTTTATGATCCTAGAATTGTTGCCAATTCAGATAAAAAATTAAGAAATAAACAGCAGCCAATTGGGATTAACTCGCATATAGTTTATCAACATACCTCGTAGAGCTACAATTCATGGAATTCTTTCCAAATGCACCAAAACAGACATTGATAGAAGCTTATAAAACTAAAAGAAAAAACAAGAACAAACAAAACCCAAACCAGGAATATTGAAGAGACCAATAAAAATATTGGCAAATCTTCTCAACAATCACAGTACTTATCAACGGAAAATTCACTTCCCCATGCTCCGCCTCCGCAAATCCACCTTCATCATCACCAACCAAAAGGAAAACAAGTTAAAAATTATAGCTTTCCAAGTAAGAACCCAGAAAACCAAATGCCCAAAACGATCACACAAGAAGAAATGAAAGGAAATACAAAAACAGAACTGGAGAATTAAGCATGTTACGGATGGTTTGAGAAACCATGGCAGCTTCCTTGTGGATAACAAATTCCACCCCTTCAGCGCTGATGAGTTTTCATGCCCAGGCATGGATAGCATGCCCAGGCATCACCCACAAATAAAAAACAAAATATGATTTTTCATGAAAAAAATCAAATATATATATACATGCTTAGTTAACTTCAATGCAAAGCACACGCCCGGAAATATCATCACCGACCACTGCAGCACTGCCCGATAAAGTTTAGTACTTACATAAATTACGACATAAAACATGGATACTTCTAACAGAACCTCAGAAATTAGTGAGAGGAAGACAACCAAAGTACACTCACGTCATAGAAATGCAGTGGTTCCCCAATTCTGTATTTTTGAAAACATGGTTCGAAGGATGCAATCGACATCTATTCCCTAGCTTTGCAGAAGAACCAATTGTACAAAAAGGACCTACTGAAACACCCTGTGCCATCACAATTTTGAAATTTCTCATGAAAACAAATCATTACAACAGATTACAGCCAACAAAGAACTTAGCTTTCACAGTCAAAGCAAATCATAAAGATTTCAGGTACTCAAACCCAAATGCCCTGATAATGTAACTTAGGGACAAGCCTCTTCATTCCACTCAGAAATCAGAAGAAGAAAATGTAACTTACATTTAGATATACAGTAACATTCAACAATGGAAGCTGTAAATCAGAATTCAAACACCCCAACTCAACAATAAAATGATATTATATTATAAAATTTGCAAATCCAAATTACTGACTACTACCACTAACTTTAGTATGCTGTATAGATCTAAAATTTACAGATCAAAAGCACTACAACGGCAATGACTAGTTTTAGCGTAAATTCCCTGAGAAAAAAATAAAGAACATAAAAACCCACAACAAATAATCAAAGGAACCGCGCTAACACCAATATGCTACTCGTCAATAAGCAAAATAAAAAGAAAACACCAATTGAGCCGTGAGAAAAGAGGTAAATCGCTCCAAAGTGAACTCAAAATCGACCACTCCTTGGAAAAAATTAAACTCGACTTTTCAACTTAACCTCCAAGCATTCAACATAAAGAGCTACCTCACCACGTAAACAATGTAACTTCTCCAAAGAATTGATTTACAGTCTTTTAGCAATGACGAGGTAGCTTCCGAGTTATTGATTAAGCATTTAAAATCCAAAGAATCCAATGGTGTGAAAGCTAAAAAGAAGAATTCTCCCTCGGTAGAAGCAGAAGATGCGGAAAAATGATGTTGAGAATCCCACATCTATACCCACATCTATAAAAGATACGATTAAAACATTGGATTTAAAATTCAAGGAACTCCAAATACTCAGGATCTAGATGTTCATTAAGAAATACTTGTATTTATGAACGGGAAAATAGAGGCACGTGTAAGCCTACATTAAATCCATTCCACATTTGAAGTATGCTTAAAGCAAATCAGCTTATTACCTTTGAATATTGTCCCTTCCAGACCATCGTTTTTGTAGCAGTTCTTTGGAACTCGTTCGGAAGGTGCATACTCAACAATGGTTTTAAACTGGCCCCCTAAAAGAAGAGAAATACTACTTTTACTTTGAAACTCATGTGTAGTATCAATTTATTGAAAGCTTCTAATTTTTAAAAAGGCTGATGAAAGCAAGATTAATTTAGAAAATGGTAAATAATACATAAGCTTATCAAGACTGGATGTTGAATCTGTCAAAATATTAATTTCTATTTCGGAAAATGAAGATGCTCTAGCATCTCCAAACTCATAGACTTCCAGCTGCATGTTTAAAGAGTAATCAGATCCAATGCAATGAGAAGGTATGATAAACTATACAAATCTCACTAAACAAGAATTACCTTTCTCCTTAACAAACACATGCCCATTAATGAATTCAGCAAACTCCAAGACATCCTCAGGGCTCTTGAAGTCTATGTATAGTCTAGAACACAACTGATGCTTCTGACTGCAAAATAGTTCCGGAACTTAACACTGTAATGAGAATACCTTTTGCTGTATTCTAACCTTAGAATTGTGGTCATATACAATTAAACAAAAACTGCATCGGATATGTGTGTGTATGCAAGACAAAATGAGTCTCCTAACAGTATCTTCTACAGCATAAATTCATATTTGATCAAAAGGACCTAGAACATGACAAAATCTCCCTCCATGAGGGTAAGAGGAGTGCTCATGCTAGAGATGACTGAAACTGAGTTTTCAATTAAGCAAAGGAAGGCCAAATGTTAAGCAAAATGAAACAAGCCCATTTACAACAGACCGGCATATAAACCCAAAATGACACAATCTGCAGAGAAGTAACCTAATATACTTGAAAATATAAAACAATATTCATTTACAAGCAACGACAATTACTGCTAAAGAAGTAGCAATACAGAATCATACAAAACTCACCGTTGAAATAAAGTGAAAAGACAGCAAATTTGAAAGGAGCCTAGGATATAAAATACCAAAGAAGTCTAATTAAGAACACAATCAGAAAAGAAAAGAGGAACTAACCTGATCTTTCCTGGACGGAAGGAAAACCAGTTGTAACGGCCAGCAAAGGCACTATCGACTCGTACTATACTATGGCCAGCATAAACTGATTACAGCTTCAGCTCGTTGCAGGAAAACACAAAAATACTGAATTACCTCTAAAAGAAAAAACAAGAACAAACAAAACCCAAACCAGGAATATTGAAGAGACCAATAAAAATATTGGCAAATCTTCTCAACAATCACAGCACTTATAACCGGAAAATTCACTTCCCCATGCTCCGCCTCCGCAAAGCCACCTTCATCATCACCAACAAAAAGGAAAACAAGTTAAAAATTAGAGATTTCCAAGTAAGAACCCAGAAAACCAAATGCCCAAAACGATCACACAAGAAATCATTTCTTTAAAATTCACATCGCCAACAAGATCATATGGCAGAATATACTCTAGGAAGAAACTTGTTATCAACGAAAGAAATACAATCTAAAAATGAATCCATATTGAATCCAAATCAGAATTACATGAGAAATATCACAGTAACAATCATAAATATTGTATAAAATTGTAAAAAGATAGGAAAACTGCATGTTGAAAAAATTACGGGCATGATATTACTGCCTCAAATTAATAGTAGCAACTATGCATCAAAGTAAAGGCAAATATGACAAGAAAGGCATGCACAAAGAAGACAAAAGCTAAACAAATGGAAGTGACAAAAAGATGCAGGGGTAGCATGTCATTCTTCGTTGGACCAGGGAAAAGAACTTTTCCAGTATATAGCTCATACAAATAGCAACCAACATACCACATATCCATTGGATGATCGTAAGGCAAACCTAGAACTGCACTATGGAAAGGAATTGAATCGTCTATTTCGACCGTGGAGAACAGGCCATTCGACAGGGGGATTTAGAAATAGCGGAGGCTTGGTTCGATCAAACCGCATAGTATTGGAAACAGGCTATAGTGCTAACTCATGGTAGTTATATTGAAGCACATAATTGGTTAAAGATCAGGAGACGTTTCGAATAAGAACAAAACAACTATAGGAGTACCTTAGATGACCCATCGTCCATGTAAACATAGCTTTGATTGAAGTCAGTCAGCCCAAATAAATCATCCATTTGCCATGTCTGTATGCTTCCAGGTGTAGAACCCCCTGCGTATGTTACTTTTTTCAGCTCATTGTTCCCGTATCCAATATTTGATGGTAGGAAAGCAATCTTCTTCCATGCCCAAAAGCTTTGAAATAGCCATATTTTAGGCAATCTTTCCAGAAACAGAGGCTTGAGGAAAGTAACCCTTCAATCCGACAACCCAAATATGGGAGCTAGAGCCCTTTTCACTCTGATTACAGCTTCAGCTCCTTGCAGGAAAACACAAGAAAGCAAGGAGAAAACACTACTGAATTGCCTGAATTACCTCTCCAACTCTTATCTTTTTCCATTTTTTCAATTTAAATTCCCCTGCTAGGAGAACTAACGCCTCTCATTTTTTTCATTCCGGTCTGACCTGTGTCTCCGCCAATCCTCATAGCCATCTTTAATTTCCGAGACACAAAGCAAAATCAAGAGTGGGAAAAGAGAAACAGTTCTCCCAAAGACTGCTAGAGTGGGAGATTATCATCAAATTCCACACTTTTGTTGCGAATCCTCTGAGACTTACGAATTTTTTTTTGCGCCAGAGATGAGCTCCTGGGAATATCGAAGCTTTTACTCCTAATATCTCTTAGTTTACCTCCCTTCTTTGGACTATAAAAGTTGTTTTGAAAACCCTGGGTTCTCGAATCCTTTCTTTTCTCCATTGAAACTTGTTTGCTTCACAGCAGAGCTTTGACACTGAGGAGGCTTAGAACATTCGTTTTTCATCGATGGCTTGAACGAAACATATACGAAGAAGAGGAAAACGGTGTTCATATTTTGTATGGGATATAGCAATATCCTACAGCAGAGCTTTGGTAGGTAGCGCATGAAAATCAAAGAGGAAAAACAGAGAAACTAAAATGAGAGATGAGTTTTTAAGTAGGAAAAGTAAAGAAACTAACATAGACGAAATCCCACACCGAGAAAAAAACAGCAGTATGAATGGTTTATAACTGGCAAGCAAATAACACTTTAATGTGCAGCTTAACTAGGAAGTTGCAGCTTTAAGCTCCAAACTTTGCTGTATATAGTTATATATGCATTTTTGCAAGAATGAAAACAACATCCTTTCACAGCATCGCCAAGAAAAATTAATTAATTAATTACTATAATCAAAATTGAAAGGGAGCCATTCTTTTGAATAGTCCAAAACTGAATTACAGCAAAAGGGCAACCAATATTAACAGGAAAACTGGAGTCAACCGACCTTGATGGAAATGGACTTTTTTACTTCTTCCACCCTATCTTCAACCTCCTTCCGATGTTTCTTGTCCAACTCACTCATAGTGTCAGCCCATTTTATCTTCTCTTGAATTGAGATAAGTAAGTTGTCCGATGTACCCAACCTAGGTTCACACCCATAGACAGATGTTAGATGTATAAGCTGATATTTGATCAAATTTAACACCGCTTCTTCATCGAGCTACTTCAACTAGCTAGCTCTACGGAACAAAGGAAGAAGCTAATGTAAAATCAGAAAATAAAAAGAATCAACTATGACTTCAGCATGGACGGAGACCTTGAGGCATGCCTTACTAGAACTAGAGATTTTACCTGTTTGATAGTGTTTGAATCATGCTCCCAAGTTTTCCCGGCCTCAAATCCCTTCCAGCAGCAAATTGGACCTATCATAACAAATGTTAGAGACTTCAAAAAGCAATAACCGAAAATAAATGAAAAGAGAAAAGCCTTAAGAGGTAAGGAATCATACCTCAAAACACCTTCGCATCTGATCCAGCTTTCCTCTGACAATACCCTAACAAAAACGTTGAAAAAGAATGAAATTAAAGCACATGCCATGTTGAATGAAATTAAAGCGTCAAATCCACAAGGCCTTCAAGGAAACTGTTCGAGACTTTCAGTAGCTAAAGCATGCTGTGAAGGAGTAAATCACTGGATTAAAAAGGACTAACGAATTATGCAAGGAAACTACCTACCACGTATATGCATTCATTGATGATGAAATCTTCAAGTTCACGAACATTTGTGACATCCAACTCCAGCATTAGTTGATCGTATGGTAGAACCTGGAGAAGATATCTAATAAAAGTGACAAACTTGAAGCAACCAACATTGAAAACCTATAAAATAATTATCATAAAAAGATTCCCCACAAATATACATGTATCTCTTTCAATTAGGAAGGGGAAACAGAATTCCGAAAATAAAATAAAAATAAAATAAATTAACCTTTTTCAGGAGTCAAAAGAACCGGTTTCATCAATTCATGAAGTAAATTATATAAAAGTGGCATGATTGATGAATAACAAAACACATTATAAACACTACAATGAAACTAGACCAGAAAATAGCATATTTACATGAGCCAATGCCTCATATCTCAGAGAATACCTTGTTTGCCTCAGCAAGTGTCATGACAGTCAATTGCTTTAGCTTCAAAACTTGATCGGGGAGCAATTGAGGAAGACTATCAATATTACCTGTTTAAACAGCGAAAGTTAATCATATTATGATGAGCCGAAGAAAAATATGAACAATCAAGACTGAGAAATATATCAAGTAGTTCAATTAAGTAAAAGGTATCTTACTGACAACTGTGCCCGGAACAATAAGCATATTAAGGTAATGCCTTTTGAATTACTACTCCATGAAATTTCCATTTGGATAATCATATTAGCGTAGTATTTTCTTTCATGAGATCATCCTAATAATACTCTATATATTATGATTTTGAGTAGCTTTTCTCTATTATCATAAATTTAACAGAAAGTTTCCAGTTAAAAAATCAAAATACTTAACATTTACAAAAGGCAAAACATCTCTGCATGACCACATTTCACGCTCAATTTCAACCAACAAGAAGAATAACACATTTAGAATCCTTATTGCGAAGAAAAAGTCTTAAATTACACTGTAACAACAAATGTCTACTAATAATCTTTCAAATTTTCTTAAAATGAAAACTTATTATGCAAAAGGTAGTCATCAAATAAACTTACCTTTAACCTCGAAATGCTGCTTATTTCTTTGTGGTCCAAAGGCTGGAACACTATATTCTCATCAACATGATTCATGAACTCAGGTCGAAAGACGTCTCTTGCAGCCTCCATCACCCTCTGTTTGATGGTTTCATAAGCTAGATCTTTAGGCTTCTCTTCATCCGAATTTAGAATGTACTGTGAACCCACATTGAAGTCATAATGATAACCGTGTTTGGTAAAGCTCACGGTTTGACCCTGTGAATCTGTGACTCTCCCGTCATCCAAAATTTGAAGGAAAACATTAAATACATCACAACGAGCTTTCTCTATCTCATCAAAAAGAATTACAGCATATGGTATACGGCGAACAGTCTCTGTCAGCTGTCCTTCATCATACCCCACTTAACCAGGTGGAGAACCTATAAGCCTTGAAACTGCATGTTTTTCCATATACTTGCTCATATCGATCCGGACAAGTGCTTCCTCAGTATTAAACAAGTAGGACGCGAGGGCCTTTGCAAGTTCGGTTTTCCCAACTCCAGTTGGACCCATAAATATAAAACTGGCAATTGGACGGCAGGGGTCTGAAAGACCAGCTCGAGATTGCTGAATGGCCTCAGATACAGATCGAACCGCAGGATCTTGACACACATTTATGCAACACTTTTTCCAAATGTAATAGTTTCTCCCTCTGCGATGCTTGAAGCTTGGAAACTGGTATGCCAGTCCATTTACTAACTACTTCAGCAATATCATTTCCTGTAACTTCTTCTCTCAGCTTTGAATTTCCAGATTTCATTTACTCATCTAATTCCTTTTCTGTATAAGAAAGTTGACGCTGCAAAGAGTTCAAACACCCATATTTCAGCTCAGCTGCACGATTCAGATCATACTCCCGCTTAGCACAGATGAAGACGAAGAAAGAGATTGGATTTTGAAGGAGATTTGATCGATTCTTTTCACAGTTGAAAATTTGAAAAGCATAAAAATAAAATAGAAACTAATGGATGTATGTTCTTATCAACTGAAAAAACAAAAAATCATCAAATGTGGAAGCTTTGGCAAAATGTAAAACATGTCCACAATATATTTAATAAGAGATTATTGTAAACTAACATACCGCTTTTCTACACAATTCGTTTGAAAGTAAACCAAAAAGATGCAAATAAGAAACCAGTTGAGTGATTGAGACGAACATTTTGTCCTCTCAGAGGATTTCTAAATCCCAAGAAAGGACATTTCAAATGCAAAGGGGGTAGACTTTTTGAGGAATTCAAATATGAGTGAGAGAGTCAAAAACTTAGAGAGAGAGAAGGAGCGAATGGTCAGTTTGTTGTGGGGGAGAAATGGACGATTTTCGTTGATAATCTTAGCAAGAGGGTTACAAGAGGTGAATTAAGGGAAATATTTCAGCATTATGATCAAGTTGTGAGGATTTTCATTCCAAATTTTACTCAGAAACCGAAATACAAGAATTACACTTTCGCGTTTGTCCAGTTTGCAAGTGAGGAAGGGAGGAGGAGGGCTATTCAGGGTGTTAACGGAACTTGGATCGATGGGAAAAAAGTTTCAGTCGGGTTAGAAAAATATCAGAACAACAGGAATAGAGAAGTTACTGAAGGCAGGTCTACGAGGGATGGGCCAATCCCAATAAGGGTGGAGAAAACAAATGGTGAGAAGCAAGCTGGATCTTTGAGAAACCTGAGGGACAGTAGATCATACAAAGAGGTGGTGGAAACGACCAATAGAGAGAGGATTGCGGAAATGTCAATAAAGAGGATGGTCAAAGGTTAAGGAAGGCTGCTAATGGGATAAGGAATGTCTGGGAGATGCATATCTCCTCGGAGGATTCGACTTGGGTGAAAAGGTCTTTAACAGGGGTAATCAAGCATTCCTTCGAGCAAGAATTTGTTCAAAAAGCTTTGGCAAGTGAAGGAATTCAGGTAAAAATAGCGAGATGGGGCTACGCATGGAATGCTTGTGTTGTAACCTTTAAATCGATTGAAGACTACTCTGACACATGGGCAAGAAAACAGGAGGAGATCTGTTATTGGTTTGATTGGCTGGAGCCATTGCTAAACGAGGAGGGAGTTCCATTGGCGTTCTGTCTCGTGGAATTGATGGGATTACCGTTATTATGCTGGAATGTAGAATTCTTGGAGAAACTTGTTCAGAAATGGGGAAAGTTCATTGGCATCTTGGATTCTTCAAAGAATAGGTCAGATTTATCGTCAGCAAGAGTTTTGATCAGGGTCGCCAGTCCGTTTGATGTCCCTGAAATGGTCACAATAGGGTCTTACGGCAGATCTTTCAAGGTCAAAGCCATACTGGGATCGGTATTTTTAAAACCGGAGGAGTTTTCCGGGGGGATTGATGGTGAAAATTCAAATTACGGGTACAGTGAAAATCATTTTCCCGAGGAAGAGTGCGGCCGCCGTCTGACTTTGGAACAAGTTGAAAATTTTAAGTCTTCTGAAGACTCTATGCTGAAGAAAGACAACTGACAGGATCAGGAGCAGAGGAGTAGGTTGCAAAAGGGGGTTGGTGAGCAGCTTTTACCAAAAAAGTCAAATATGAATATTTTAGACGTTGGGTTGTTAGATTTGTGGGAAAAAGGAAAATATCCTGCTGGGGAGCATGCTGGACTTGGTCTAAGGGAAGAATTGGGCCTAGACTCTCAAGCCCAAGATTGTAACAGTTTGATTTCTGAATCAAGCATGAAGATTATATGTCCTCCAGGGCCTGCGTATAATCTGAAATGGATTGCCGAAGGGTCCAAAAGTAGATTTATTCCCCAATTAAACAGGGAATGGATCAAGTCCAATGAAGAATCGATAAAGGACGTAGTGGCCTTGGACAATGAGGTTACGAACGCAAAAGGAGTGGAGGAGGAAAAGGTTGATGTTTCAATCAAAACTGTTGGAACTCAACCAATGGAAGTACGAAAGGGGACGTTTCCTAATGGTCAGAGGAGCTGGAGTCCGTTGGTTTATTTGTCCAGAAGTTTGGCTTTGACGAGTGTTCCGGTGGGAAGAGGGAATAGAGGAACTTGTAATAGAGTATATAGAAGATCAAAAGATAGAAAATTCTGGTATGATCCAAAGATAGAAGAAGAGCTGTTGCGACCAGCTGAGGTACTGCACCATAATAGAAAAGCTTCCAATTCTTTATTGACCACCCAACCGCTCCCAACTTTAGAGGAAGATGGAATAATTAGCGACGATGAGGAAGGAGGTCCTTTTAAAAGTGTATTAGGAGACTTGGACCAGCATTCAGGGAGCAGGGTAGTGCCTCGATCAGATTGTCAGTCTCGAGCAGTTATAAGGAAAGAGAGTAGGCGACAGAGAAGGATTTTGACTAGGGAAGCTTTGGAGGTGGCTAGTTTACACACAGTTTCTTCTCCCTCCTTTTCGATGTTTTTGGAAGAAGCGGTGGCTACGTGGGAGGTTAGTAAGTTGTTGGGGATCTCATTTAAAGAAGGCAAGAAGGTGTTTTTAGATAAAATTATTGATCTTGAGGAAGGATTGGGGTTAGTAGGAATTGTTGAAATAAGGGGTGTGCTATTGTGCTTTTTTGAGTTGAATTTCTTGGGATATTTGTTATATTTATGAGTAACATTAATATTATTTCGTGGAACATAAGGGGGTTGGGGAAGAAGGAAAAAACAAGAGCTGTAGCTAAATTAGTCAGGAAAAATAAGCCGAGCATTCTACTTATTCAAGAAACAAAGCTAGAAAACTGTTCTATGGCACTAAGGAGAAGGGTAGGGGGTTGTCTTCTCGAGGGATGTATCTTTTCTCCAGCTGTTGGGTCTGCAGGGGGTTTGCTGGTAATGTGGAATGATAATGAATTTAAAGTGTCCAGTAGTTACTTAAGTAGCAGGATCATTGCAATATTTGGGAAGTTTAAGAATGTTGTTGAGGAGTGTGTGATTATGAATATTTATGGTCCCTCCACTGAATCTGAAAAGGATGAATTTTACAGGGAATTACTGGAGTTTGTTTCAGCCCAATCGAATCTACTTTGTATTGGGGGGGACTTTAATACGTATCTTGATCCGGCTGAGAAGATGGGAAGGTCTCAAAACTGGCATTCTGTTGATATATTTAGGAATTTTCTGCAGCAAACCAATCTAATTGATCTTCCGTTGGTGGGAGGAACTTTTACTTGGTGTAACAACAGGGAAGAATCAACCTGGGTTAGGCTTGACAGGTTCTTAATTTCTGGTAATTTTTTGACCTGCTGTCCGAACGTAGTTCAAAGGCTACTGCCTAGGTCCATATCAGATCATAATCCGGTGTCATTGGAGGATTCGTATGTAGACTGGGGTCCTAAACCATTCAGATTTTACAATTATTTACTAGAGGAAGAAGGCTTCGAGGAGTTGGTTAAATCTTCAATGGTTGACTTGATGGAAAGGAATAATAGAAGGGGTATCCTCAGTATTTTACAGGGAACTAAAAAGTCAATCAGAAACTGGTCAAGCAGGAAATTTAATGGGATTTCAGACTCTATCGAAACTTTAGAAGGGCGAATTAATGAGGTAGAATTGAAGGCACAAGGTAGCAATCTTTCTCCGCAAGAGTGGGAACAGGTGAAGCAGTCTAGATCGAATCTCTGGAGGTTGTACAGGATTGAAGAAAGCGTTTGGTTTCAAAGAGCAAGAACGAGATGGATCAAAGGAGGGGACAGAAATACTAGATTTTTCCACTTGTGTGCACTAAACAGAAACAGGAGAAATGCAATTACTAGTCTGAAGATTAATGGGACTGTAGTTTCAGACCCGTCTCTGATCAAGACCCACATTTTTGATTTTTTTAAGACAGCTTTTAATTCCATTTCTATAATGGAAGTGGAGAACTTATTTCTGGATTTTTCTAAACTGTCAAGGGAACAATCTACAAAAATAGAGGAGAAGTTTTCAGAACAGGAAGTTTGGCAAGCTATAGCATCCTCGGATAGTTCTAAATCTCCTGGTCCGGATGGCTTTACAATGGGTTTCTTCAAGAAATGCTGGCCAGATTTAAAGGAGCAAGTACTGGAATTTTTTAACGATTTTTATTTCGGAAGGATGTGGGAGCATGGAGTAAATCACGCCTTTATTACCTTAATTCCGAAAATTTTAAATCCGGAAAGTGTTGAAGACTATCGACCAATTAGCCTTGTAGGAAGTTTGTATAAGATCCTATCAAAAGTTCTATCCAAGAGACTTAGCAGCTGTGTTGGTGACATTATTAGCCCTTTCCAGTTTGCGTTTATACCAGGGAGACAATTGTTGGATTGTGCATTTGTTGCAAATGAAGGGATCGATTATTGGAGAAAACAAGGTCTACAAGGGGTTGTTTTCAAAGTTGACTTTCGCAGAGCATATGATTCTGTTGAATGGCCGATTTTGAACAGAGCAATGAAGGAGATGGGCTTTGGTATAAGATGGTGTTCGTGGATCTCACAGTGTATCTCTTCTGCTTCGGTTTCGGTTCTGGTGAACGGTTCCCCTTCGGAAGAGTTTACTATGGCTAAAGGACTAAGACAAGGTTGTAGTCTCTCTCCGCTCCTATTTAATATTGTAGGTGAGTTGCTGCATTTGATGCTAGACAAAGCAGTTGACAAAGGACTTTTCCAAGGTTTTGTGATTGGGAATTCTGCGGATTCACTTCGGTTATCTCATCTTCAATTTGCCGACGATCTCATCATTTTTTGCCAAGCTTCACTTACTCAGATTAAAAATGTCAAAAGGGTGTTGAGGATTTTCAGTATTATGGCGGGGTTGCATCTAAACTTAAAGAAGAGTAAACTGTATGGTGTCAACGTTGATGAGGATATTTTATCAGACTGGGCAGTGGAAGTGGGCTGTTCTGTTGATCGTTTTCCCGCAGATTATTTGGGTCTTCCAATCGGTGCTAAGAAGAATTCTGAAGCTTTATGGGATCCTGTCCTTAAAAATTTCAATTCAAAACTAGCTGGGTGGAAAGCTTCTTCTCTGTCCTTGGCTGGCAGGACAGTTCTATTAAAGTCAGTGTTGACTTCACTGCCAACATTTTTCCTATCTTTCTTTAAAATGCCTTGCAAAGTTGGGAATAAATTAAACTCCTTAATGGCCAGATTTTTATGGGGTGACAGTGCGGAAAAAAGGAAGATCCACTGGGTTAGTTGGGATACAGTTTGCAAACCAATGAACAGTGGTGGCCTTGGGGTTCTTGACTTGAATATTTCTAATCGGGCATTATTGGGGAAATGGGTGTGGAAGTTCGCAAATGAAAAGGATTCCATCTGGAAAAAAGTGCTATGTAGTAAGCATAATATTAGTAGTAATACTATGTCTATTAGTAAGGTCATTTCTCCAAAATCTTCTTGGAATTTGAGAAGTATTGCTAATAATTTTTTGAAGAATGATTCGGCGGGTGAGTGTCTTAGATCTTTTTCGAAGTTGCAAGTAGGCAATGGTAAGTCCATATCTTTTTGGACTGATCCATGGGTGGATGGGGTTCCTTTAAAAATTCTTTTCCCTAGAATTTTTGCACTCTCAACTAACAAATGGGGTAGGGTTGCTGATTTTGGAAGCTTTGAGTTGAATGGTTGGCAGTGGAACATTATTACTAGGAGGAATTTGTTTGATTGGGAATTGGAACAATGGTTGGATCTGATGATGAAATTAAAGGAAATAAAACTCACTGATTCGGTTGAAGATTTTCTCTCTTGGTCAGCAAGTGGTGATGGGTTATTCTCAGTGAAATCGTGCAGGAAAGCTCTTGGTAAGGAAGTTGGGGGTATTGAGTTGTGGTCAAAAGGGGTGTGGTTGGGTTTGTCTCCGCCTCGCGTAGAAGCCTTCCTATGGCAGTTAGCTCATCAGAAGGTTGCAGTTAAAATGGAGTTAGTTAAAAGAGGAATGTCCTTAGAAGAAGATATACTCTGTCCTTTTTGCAAGGAACATGAGGAAACTGTGCAACACTTATTCATTTCGTGTTTTGTAGTTTGGGAACTATGGAATAAACTGGCAAGCTTCTGGGACTTGTCTATTGTGCTACCACAGGACCCTCCTTCCTTACTTAATTCGACCCAATATGAATGTATTTGATTTCCCCCCATAATTTTTCATATATTTAAAGGATTTTTGGTAGATCACATCTTCATAACTGCTAATTGGGGATCCATCACTAGCTGATGGTATTTCTGTTCCTAAACCTAAAGATTATTATGCTATTGGCTGGCTTCCTCCACCTGTTGATTTCTTAAAGATGAATGTTGATGGAGCTGTTAGGTTAAAAGACTCGATTGGAGGTATTGGAGGCATTTTAAGGGACTGGAATTGCTGCACTCTTTTGACTTTTTCAGAGAATATTGGTCAAGGTCCCCCACCAGTTGCAGAGTTAAAGGCTATTAAAAGAGGCATCGAAATTTTTCTAGCTTCAAGATGGTCTGCTGCTAGTAGATTGGTTGTTGAGAGTGATTGTAAGTCGGCAGTGGAGTGGATTCACAACCCGTCTTTGGCACCAGTTTTCATGTTGCCTCTGGTTAGAGAAATTCTGTTGATCCTTTCTGAAAAGGTGGTTTTAATTAGGTTAATTCCAAGGTCTTGTAATGGGGAGGCAGATAGTTTAGCAAAGCAGGGGATCGGTTGATTGTATGTTTTAGTTATAGTTCATTTTCCTATAGCTGTAGGTTCTTGAAGTAGCAGAAGTTGTTAAGTCTAATGTAAAAGCATCTGCTGTATTGTTAAGTCTTATGTAATCTGGTTTGGTAATAAAATGAGGCACTCTTTTCCTCCCTCCACTACTTGATCCTTTCTATTAGGAAAGGGTCAACTATGAGGGAGGTTTTTAACGAGGCTTCCTATTCCTATCAAAAAAAAAAAAAATCCCAAGAAAGGTTCTCCATTTCAAAATGCAATTCAAGTGTGACCGTGTGGGTCGTAAACTAAACAAAAGGACATCAAAGTGATGGATTGTCATTGTAGATTCCCTAATTAAGATAAAATGTCACAACAAAAAAACAAAAAACAGAAAGCTTAATTAAGATAAAATGTCATTGTAGATTCCCTAATTAAGATAAAATGTCACAACAAAAAAATACCCATTATAATCACTACCAGACTCTGCAATCCTGACAAAAAAATGAGAGTTCTTAAACCTTTTCAACTGTGTTTCAGTCAGTCTTCTGTGGTCTTCCATCCTAAGAAATGATTCACTAGCAGAGACATCCTTTGCAGAATCAATCTTATGTTTCTCCAAGCTGTCACCGTTCTGATCCATTATTGCACCTGTAAGACTCACATCTCTATCTCCCCTTTCGGGCACTGGATTTGTCTTGCCCTCCATGTTCCCATTTTGTTTACGAGCACCCTTTCTCTTTCCATTTTTACTCATCACTGCAGCAACTTTAAATGGGGTAATGATTTATGTTTCCTGATTACATGCTGATAAGCATGCTAGAAACATGAAAGTGTTCACCTGAAGAAGATAACAGGATTAAGTTTCAAGTTACAAACACATCTAGCATATGAATACCACGAAACAACCAAAGGCTGTACTCGTATTAAGAATAAATATCACCTCGGATGCTCCTCTGGATCCAAGTCTGATGAGGATCTTCAGTCAACAGTCTGACAATGGAGTACATATTAAAATTTAATTCCATACTGAGGCACTTGAACCAAGAAAAATATTAAAACAAAAAAAAGAGCATTACAATAACTAAGATTCTTCTTGGGATACCTAAATTTGATAAAGGTGATTATGAAGAAACCTTGATTAAACATCTCAAAGCAGAGTATATCTTATTGAGAAAATATTAAAGTTAAGGATATCACTATCATTTTGCCAACGACCTATAACACTCAACATCTTTTTTTCTTTTTAATATAAAACAAGCATTAATGGTGTTATATACACAGGATACTTTACATATGAAGATGTGATAACACTGTAAGATGTACATAGCTTGATGTTTTAGAATGTTTTTTAACTTTTTTGACGAGGAGATAATTAGATTACACAGACAATCAACAAAGTACATGGATTTATTTTTCAATGTATAGGACTGAAACCTCTCTTAAGCAAAGTTATAAAGCAAATACAGAACAGTTAACTCTGCAAACCATGAATGCTCCGTAGAATATTTCCTTTAACTCAAGAAAATTATGTCCATCAAATTATGTAACAAGAAATCACTTGGGCTACTGCTTTTTTGCATTACAATTGTAATTTATTTCAAGATGAATGATGAATCCAATTCTCATGAAATGCTAATGACATCAACAAAATAGTTTTCTTACCCATCAATTAGATCTTTTGCTTCCAGGCTTATTTCTTCTGGTGCCCGTGGCCAAGGTATTTTACGGTTGAGAATATTATCAAATATTATCTAGAACCAAAATATGAAAGAGAATGAATGTAAGAATGAGAACTAATTTAAAATGAAACATATTAACAGAACCAGGTAAATACTTTTCATTCACGTAAACATTTCTGGTTTCTGAGTAGTCCTTTTCCATATGCCGCAACAAAGTATAGCAAATAAATAAATAAGTAGAGAAGAATTTTACAATGCCAAAGATTACATACGACTGTGCAATTTCTCAGTGACAAAAGACAAGTTTTTTACAGTCTTCTACCAAAACAAAAGCTCACCAGAATCAATGCACTGATTTTCCCTAAACACTATATACGTTAACGCCTCATTTCTTTTTTCCAACACACTATTCGTTAAAAGACATAAAAAAGAAGTAATAACACATCGATGGCTACCTACAATGATTCCAAAATAATTTAGGTTTGAAAAACAAGCAAGAAGAAGGGGTTGTTTTTATATGGACCTGTAATGACGATCATAAGGAGAAATGATATAACTTCTGAGCTTGATTCTCCGTGTACTCCTGTCTCCAAGCGAAGGAAGTATACCGGTGGATAGACTATAATGACTACTCTCTCTTAAGAGTCGCTCTAAAACTGAATTATGAACATGTCACAGCATTTTAATTATTCTTCATACTGAGCTGACACACTTAATAAGGAAGAACGAGCCACTACGAGTTCCTATCCCAGTAGTAAAGTACAGCTAAAGTAGTTCCTAGTCTCAACTTTTAAAGCATATGTATTGGCTTGCAAGCTTCATAGGACAACATTCACTAATCATTCATAACATTATCTTCCAAAAACAATTCTCCAACTTCCTCATCACACCACGGAAAATACCGTAAATGGCATTATTCAGCATAACTTCAAACCTGTTCAATTACATTCCAAATAAATAACTCATAATTTGATCAAACAAACTGACATCGACAGCAGAAAAACTAACTGAAGAACTTGATTATACGATATTTGATACTTTTAACTGTTTTGTAAGTGTAAAGATTTACACCTACTTGTTTTCCTCTTTTATACGATATTTTATACGAAATTCAGTAGATGTTTAAAAAATCATAGATAGAAAGATATAAAAAAAGCATAATAAACAAAAAAATGCAGAATATTACTTTAGGATAAACATCCTTAACTCCCTTGTTGTTTGATAGATCACAAGCACCACTCAAGAACCATCATGAGTTGTAATTTAACTTCTTTCGCTTTCAAGCAACTTTTAAGAAGTTGGAACCAACTAGCAAAAGCATCAAGCAAACAAAGGTAAAGACATAATGTATGATGATGTCATACCAAAGATTCTTGAACAAAAATAGCCTCAACTGTTGCAAAGCTCGAACTTCTATTATTGATTTTTCCAGAAATTTAAGATTACAGATTGCAAGTGACTTTGAGATATAAGAACTACAGGATTGAAAATAGTTTAACAAAAACAGCCTGTACGCCAAGTCATAGTGAAGTTTTTGAACAAAAATAGTCTCATTGTTTTGAAGCTCTAATTTTCTATTACTGCTTTCCCAGAGGCTGTGTTTATATATAAAAGCAAATGTATTAATCTAAAACCAATTTGCAGGATTTTGATTTACCTTGAGATTACAAAATGCGAGTAGATGTGAAAAAGGGTACCTCCGTTTCGACCTCAACAACAGCAAGTCGCAGCGGAAGTAGGAGTGTCATCGTCTTCGAGGTCTTTCACTGATTTAACAATCTGTAGCTTCTTGTGTATGTCCAATGGGCATGGCCTAAACGATAGCCTACTCATTTTTGTTATTCCTTTTTCTTTCACCTCACAACGCTCTCTCAATCAATTCACTTATCCCACTCGCAACCAACACACTGATTAAAAAGATAAGAAAACAAAAATCCACTATAACTTGTCTTATTCCAAATCAAGTATGTACTTCTCAGGCTTGTTTCTTATTCCAAATCAAGCATGTTTCAAACGTGTCTCGATTTCTCTCAAACAAAACTGAAGGGTAAATGTAAGAATTCTGCATGAATAAAAACACTCTGCAAACATTCTCCTTTTCAACAATAACCTTAAGCGAACGTTGCCCTTGTGTCTATGAATTGCATTGAATTTTAGTTCACAATAAAGTTGAAGTAAAAGAACAGAAAAAATAAATAATCCTAACAAAGTAAAATCACTAAATAAATCTTTTATACTGGATTAAGCAGGGAAATCGAGCTTACGAATGACATATCCGTATCAGATTCAGTGAAATCTCCAAACGCTTTCATCAGGCTCGCCCTTTTACCTGGCAATGACGACTTGGAACAACCATCAAATGAAGTACGAGCCTTGGTCACTGTGGTATCAGCAGCTGCAAATTCAAAACATTGATTCAATGGAAAGCAATGACAGAGGGAGGGAGGGAGGGAGGGAGGGAGGGAAAGCGAACCAGCTTTTGACGGTTCATTGTTCAGCGTTTGATTCTCGAGAAAACTTCGTTTCTTAATTTGATCTAGAGGCGGAGAAGAAGATGGAGCTGAACGAGAGGCGTTTCGTATTACAAGTGAGAGTAGGTTGAAGAAGTCCTCCGAGTTTTGGGGGTTGGAAATTGAGCAATGGCTGAAGAAATCTCTCTGGGTAGAACAACATCCCACATCCAGGAGGAAAGCCAAAGCATCCAATCATCTCAAAGAAAACAAAAATATTCTAATTATCGGATACTTTAATAAAACCCAAATCCTAAAATTCAATAAACATGGCAATTCTACAACATAACCAAATACCAAATACCCAAAACACAAAAACAAAAACCCAATCAAAATTCGAGGGGAAAATTGGAAGCAATTGAACGAAACCCGGTGGCCATCCTTGTCAGTATCAACGAGACACCATCACAGTAAAAAAGAAGAGCAGAAGGAAGAGTATTCGAAGAAGAAGAAGCCTATGAGCATTTGATCCTGAAAGAAGTACAAACTTGCTCTGTTCTTCTTTGTGTTGATGTTGAAGTGAGGAGTGAAGAAGAAGATGGTGAATTCTTTGCAATGAATAAATGGCAGTTGCTGAAGACGGAAGCTTTGGGTTTAACACTCGAAGAAGGGAATGGCGGTAGTGAAAGAGAGATGTCAGTGGAAGCCATTTTCAAGCTGTGAGTTTAGCGTCATCTATGACAGATTCCGTTGGTTATAAACGGCTCTGAAAGCAAAGAAGAACCGGGCAGAAAGAAGACATCCCACATCCTTTGGGAAATTGCTTACTCAATGGTATTTAAACTAAAACGCAAATATCACATAATTGAGCCGTCAGGCCTATCCTTGGGCTTTGGTGATGGGCTTGGGTTCCCATGCTCACCCTGCGCAGGTAGGGGGTTTTCATTTTGGGGTTGAGTTTTGTTTTTTTAAACCCATTTTTTTCACAGCTTTTGATTTATATATATATAACTCTATCTTGTATTTCGAAATTACCCCTAAAGCAACATGCCAAAAGCACCCAAATGTTACCCTTGAAAGAACACAAAAGAAAAAACTTAATAGTTTTCCAAGAGCTAAGAATAGCCAAAATCAGCAAAAGAACCAATCGATAAGATGACCAAATAGTAAAGAAACTAAAAAGTAAAAAAAGACAAAATCTTGAACTGAACAGTTTTTCACAACGAAACTCAAGTCATCACTCTTCAATTTGCCAACATAGTTTCAGACATGAGCATGGAGATGCGACTGTCCAAGGAATATCTAATTACATGAAAAACTTAAGCAAAATTCGGACATAACTTAAGCAAAATCCAAAATACAGACTCAAGGTAAGAGACGATGGGGGAAACAACAATAGAGATTAAAAGGAAATGGAAACTGAAGGCTGAATTTAAGTACCTCAATAAACATGGTGAATTCAACAACATAACTAAATACCCAAAACATAAAAACAAAAACCCAATCAAAATTCGAGGAGAAAATTGGAAGCAAACCTTGTAGCTCCACAGGCTATCACTGGAAGCAACAGAATGCCAAGCACGTGAAACAAGGAGAGATAGTGCCATGCTGCGTGCGTCAAGATTTCTTAATATCATCACCATTATGTCCCGACCGAAAATCTCCAATGGATGCCATGCTTAAGCAATTGAAATTGAAAGAATATAAGGCTGGAAAATGTAAAAATGAAGTTGGCTCACCCTGCGATGAGAATGTTGACCCAAAACCATAGGTGAATATTTGTCCCCTTCTTGAAGTGCGTTCAATAGAGCAAATTCAGGATCGTGGATGGTAAAATATGGCCTAAAATCAACACTATCATACCAACTCTATTATAAGTTTCTTTACAGACAAGAAATCATGTGTTTGCCCAAGAATGCTCTTTCGCCTGAAGAAACTGGTTCTGAGTTCCAAAGAATGGAAATTGAAATGCAGCTTTTAAGCTTCCCTTTATGCAATGCATGGAGTTGAAGAATATGTCGTTGATTCTGCTGAAAACTTGTGGGATCTTCCAGCATTATGTTCACTGTTCTGCTAATATTATCTGGCTTTTGACCTACAGATGTAATGGTAAGAAAGTTGTGTTCTTCTAGTATGGTTTGATTTTGAAGTAAGCATGAAACGAGCATAAGCACAGATATAAATACCTCAATGCCGATTATTGTTTAATTGATATAAAAATTCTGATGCGGTAGAATGTGGATATCTTGTAATTTACATAAATATATTCTCTACTTGATTTTCCTCTTAATCAGAAAACATGACCTCTTCCTCTATTTATGTTTTTCATGAGCAATCTATTTATAACTAGCGTTAAGTCCTTTATATTTTAAAAGTATCAGTGTTAAATCTTCATTGTTATATTTCTTTCAAAAAAAATAAAGTACTTTTGCTTAAATAACTTTGAACAAAATATATTCTCTACTTGATTTTCCTCTTAATCAGAAAACATGATCTCTTCCTCTATATTTATGTAGAGAATATATTTCTGTAAATTACCAGGTATGGGGATATCTTGTAATTTACATAAATATATTCTCTACTTGATTTTCCTCTTAATCAGAAAACATGACCTCTTCCTCTATTTATGTTTTTCATGAACAATCTATTTATAACTAGCGTTAAGTCCTTTATATTTTGAAAGTATCAGTGTTAAATCTTCATTGTTATATTTCTTTCAAAAAAGAATAAAGTACTTTTGCTTAAATAACTTTGAACAAAAACATACTATGAAAGGGAAGCGATTTGGTCATGTTTTTTAATCTTGGTCAAAATACAAATGGTGGTCTGCTATATTCTTTAGGAGCCTCTTCCGTTTCAGCAGTAATTATCGGCAAAGGCTATTGGGTAAGTCGGTACGCATTAAATTAACAGTATACCTACAGAAAAATCATACTACAGTAAACTAAATTGAAAAACATAATTTTTCTTATCAAATATTAGTTTTAAAAGTAGATTTAATACCATGCAACAACTACATCAACTGTGTAATGCTTGTGGGATGCTAAAATCAAGAGACTTTGAATAACAACAAGCAACCAAGCAAACTGCTTTATATACCTGCATTGTACAATAGTATTCCATCAGAAATACATCAATTGGCCTATTCATGCATGTCAATAGAGCAAGGAAGAATAATTGCCCTGATTGTGTACAAGAAAACTAATCAAACAAACTTAGGGTAAAAATTGATCTAAATGCTTTTCTAATTGTGAATCAGAAATAAGAATGATACTCAAAATAAAATCTTTCCATTTGCAAATTGTAACATCCTCCATGCCGGGTTAGTGATTAATTTGCAAAGTATCAACATTTGGTGATTTAAGTAAAATGATGGAAGAGTTCAATGACCTATTTGAGTTATTTGGTGTATGATTGAATTATAAAGAAGGAGAATTAAGAGGGAAAAAGAGTAATTTAGTAAGTGAAATAATTAAATATTCCTTAGGGTGATTTTATAAATCACGTGGGCATTTGAGATAAACATTCCAGACTTTTCTCTTCTTCTCTTCCTTCTCCAACCGTGAAGCTTGCAAGCAAAGGTGAGTTGTCTTCTTTTGGATTAATTCTTATGAGTTAAGCATGGGTTTGGTTAATGAAGATGTAGGAAATATGATGGAGAGAAACAAGGATCCTAGAACTCAAAGAATTGCAAGTTAAGGGAGATTAAAGGTTGAGAGCCATTTAATGAAATCTTAGATTAAAGGTCATAATAAGAATTAGAAGCTGGATTTGACTTGTCATCAAGCTAATTAAGAAGTATGAGGTGATAGAATTAAAATTAAAACAAGTTAGAATTTGAGTAAGATTCTTAAATTCTATATGGATGATTAGTTTTTTTTGTTTTAGAGGTATTGAATGGATAATAATTAGTTTAAGTAAGTGTATGAAAGCTAAGAGTATTAAAGGGAGTGAAATATGAATGTTTGAGCTGAAATGAGATGATTTTCGAGCTCAAATTAGGATTTCTGGGCTAGGGGAATCGGTGCCCATTCAAGGGGAATCGATACCCCCTCAACGAATATGAATTTCCAGAATGCTAGAGGGGAATCGATACCCCCAGGGGGGAACCGATTCCCCCATATATATAAAAAAGAGAAAGACTAAACTATTAATTCCTTAAATTGGTAGGCTATTAAAGATTAATTTCAAGACATAGACATCTGATAATCATCTTGAAAATTATGTTTATGTAGATACTGAGCCTACACGAGTTCTGGAACAATCTACAAGTAGGATCGATCGAGGAAAAGGCAAAGAAATATAGGTGAGTGCATATGCATAGTATAATTATAGAAATATACTCAATTCTAGACTTGTGATAAGTCTAGATTTTATATCTTGGTACATGAGCATATTCTGTATTATGAGACATGCCATGAGTTCATATAAAATGCATTATATGACATGAATATGCGGGAAAAGTTATGAGCTATGTGAAAAGGTAAGAATTTACATGTCTACGCGATATAGACTACGTGAAATGTAAAAGCCCATGTTATGTAGATGAGAACTATAGGTATAGTTGGCATGCCAAGGGTAGAGGGTCTACGCGGTCCTTCGGGACAAAATTCTACTCGGTCCTTCGGGATATATATATATTCTTTGAAACATGTGTGAAGTCTGGTGAGACACATATGTGATCCCTAGCATATGTATATGATTCTTAAGGAATTCTATGTGGTCCTTATAGACATTATTATATGGCACTACGGTGCAATTCTAAACGACACTTCGGTGCATTTATACGAGATGTGGTGACAGCATAGTGCACAACCTCACAATACTCAGATACCTTAGGTTCTCAATATAATATCATGGGCCAATAAACTCATTAATACAAATTCATGAATATCAAAGTAATATGCTTATAGGTAAGGATAATGGTGATGTAAACTACCTTGATTAAGTATAAGCTTTCATCTCATTTCATATCATTATGACATTTTCATTACATTGCCTTGTTATTATTATTACATTGCCTCACTAAGTCGATGACTTAGCGTGTGAGTGTTTCACACGTAGGATCCAAGAAAGTAGACGAGACAGGTGAAGCAGCTTGACAACATTACTCCTGCAACTACCAGATCAGAAGCAACTTAATCAGTAGGTCATTTTGTTATGTAAATGGCAGTTGGCATGTAATTAAAGGGTTAAGTTGTGTATGCTCTGAATATTTTGGTAAACTTATATTACAATATGTATATTATCGTATTTTCTTAATATAAGTTCAAATATTTTGCTATTATTGGTTAAGAGTTATGTTTTAAAAGTCAATGTAATATCTCTGACTCATATCCGGGTCGGGTACGGGTTGAGGGTGTTACATTTAATGGTATCAGAGCTATGGTTTAGCCGATTCTAGGCATGAACCAGAGTCTATAGAGTCTTTAAATGGAATACATGCCAACAAATAGTGAGAACTTCTGATCTGGTATAGTATGAGTATGCTGTTTTGCTAATAGAACAATGTGTTTATTCTTATTAGATGTCCGGACATAATAGCTCCCGAAGTGAAGCGTGAGAAGATAGGCATGCTGAAAGCAGTAATTCACCTGCCCTGGCCAGGCAAGGTGAAGAACATGCATCTCAAGGAGTGCCTGTGCAAGATCAAGATACGTTCTTCAGAACGTTAGACGCTATTCTGACGCGTCTTCAACCTTCTGCTCCACTAACTCAAAGAATAAATGTAGCAAAAGAGTTGAGAGGTTTAGGAGCTCCCGAATTTAAGAGAGAAGCTGAGGAAGGTCCAGTG